GGGGCGGGGCGGGAGGAAGGTTGGGGAGATGCTGGCAGGGCCGCTGCTGCTGGGGCCAGGCTGGGGTCTGCTGAGTTTGGAAGGAGACTCCCCTACACTCCCACCTGCCCCCTGAAGCCACCCCCCCCACTTACACCCACCCTGCCCTGCGCCCCCTGCCATTCAGCCCTCCGCGCGATGGGAGGCTGGGGACGGATGAGGTGGCCCGGCGGGCACCCCAGCTCCACTGTCACTCACCGACGACGGGCTTTTCGGACACAGAGGAGGAAGGGAGGAAGGCGGGGTGCGGCCGGGGCCGGGTGACCACTTTGGGGAAGTCCGAGTAGCCCAGGCGGGTGCAGAGCTCCGCGAAGTCGGTCTCCAGGGACCCGGTGCACTGGTACTCCTCTGCGGGAGGGAGGGCAGCGGCTTGGCCTCAGGGTGGGCAGCCCCCCCTGAGGTGGATGGTCTACAGACATTTTAAAATGTCAGCCCCATGCTGAAAACAGCGGGAAATGAAGACGTGGGAGCAAGGACTGGCTTCTCCTCCCACCCAGTCAGTCAGGCGCTTCCACTGGCTCCCAGCTCCCTGGGGGGCCTCCCGAGGGTGTCCCCGGCCCAGCCAGGCCTGATGGAGCAAAAGAAGGAACTACCTCTTCACGCCCCTCCCACCCCACAGACCCCGAGGTCCAGCAGAGCTGCAGGATATTATGTATTTAGCAAACATTTCTACGGCACTTACTCCTTTCCCGCGCTGCTCAAAAGCTTTAGAAATATTAAGGCATTCAGACAGATGCCCACCGAATCCACTACTCAAACCTGGGGCGCTGAGTCTCCAGGGACCCTGCTTTTTCCTGCTCCAGGAAGAAGTGGTGTCCGGAGATGGGAGGGGGGCCCCTGGCAAATGGGAGAACCTGCCAGCTCCTCCTTCGTTAAGATCTCTGATATTGCCCTGGCTGGTTTGGCTCAGTGGACAGAGCGTCGGCCTGTGGACTGGGGGGTCCCGGGTTCGGTTCCAATCAAGGGCATGCACCTTGGTTGCGGGCACATCCCCAGTAGGGGGTGTGCAGGAGGCAGCTGATCGATGTTTCTCTCTCATGGATGTTTCTAACTCTTTATCCCTCTCCCTTCCTCTCTGTAAAAAATCAATAAAATATTTTTTTTAAAAGATCTCTAATATTGGGTCCTCCCTCAGATACTCTTCCTTCGGGCTTTTCTATCTCCATCTGCCTCCTCAATCCAGTAACCCCTTCTCCCTCATACCCCATTCCAACCACCACTGTCGCTCACCTGGACTCTTGAAATATCTCATAACCCATCTCCCCGCCTTCGTTCTCTCCCCTTCCACTCCATTTTCCATACAGAGTGGGGTGTGTGTGTGTGTGTGTGTTTAATGGCACTGGAGTTTGTCCTGTCTCTCCTGGAAAATGCTCTTTCTCCAGCTCTCATCGTTGCATGCTTTATGGGGAATCCAGGAACAGCAAGTTCCTGCCCCTCTCGGGTGGCAAAGCTGTGGCTGTGAATCAAGACGCCTTCCAATAACCCCCCGTGTGGATCACTAGCTTAGGCTGGGGTTCCACCACTTGCAACACACAGAGCCACACTCCTACCTAGACTTTTCTCGTGATTTTCTTACCACAGAGAATGTAAATTCCATACACGCAGGACTGTGCCCATCTTGCTTTCTGTGTTGCATCTGGCTGAAGAGCAGGCACCTTCTGGTACACTCCCCCCCCACCCACCCCCCGGCTTCTCCTATCCTCCCTGGTCCTTCTTTTCTCATACATCATATCACATCTATTGTCTTTGGCAGCATCGCAGAGTGCGGTTTCTTTAAGGTCAATTCAGTTCAAACGTCTGCCAAGGTGAGATTCAAGGACTGTGATGTGAGTCAAACTGGGATTCATAGTCCAAGGTGGAGCAGCCAGCTGGGCACACAGTGCACACAGTGGGTGTGCAGTGCATGCTTGTTGAATGAACAGGTGAGTTTGCCGTCGACAAAACACATTTTCACCATCAGCTCCTTGTTCCTCACTCAATAGGCAGGGCATGACTCACATTTCCATACGGCAGGGAAGAGCCGTGCCCACGGCCACACACTTAATGATGGTGACCACTAATAACACCCTCGCATGGGCCAGGGGCTGGTAGATTCACACACTGGACGTCAGCCGGTGGAGGCCTTTCCCTGCAGCACCTCTTGGCACCAGACATTCTATTATGATTTCCTGGATCACCTGCCTCACCCGCCCAGCACTCCAGGTCGGTGCCTGGCACAGCAGCGCGCCATCCAGCCTGGCTAATGGGAGCCGCAGAGGCCGGTGGTGGCACACAGAGCCTCGAGGTCTCGAGGCCCGATCCCCCAACACCGCTGCCAGCCTACCAGGGTTTTTGGGCTCCTCCTCGCCCACCGGCAGCAGCACGATCGGAGGCTTCTCCTTGGCCGCGCGATCCCCCTTCTTGGTCACCGTGCCCGACGACTTCTGGGTCCCGGGACGCGGGGCCCTGGGGGAGGCTCCCTGCGCGCCCCCCTCGACAGACATGTCGGTGCCGTCCGCAGCGACTCTGGTGACCCTCCCGGGGGCGAGGAAGCAGGTGAGGACACGCCGGCTCGGGGGTCTCTATTCCGCATCCACCAGCCTGGTGTGTCCGCAGGGGCCGCGGCGTAGCTTCCGCGTCCCTCTCCCTTGGGCAGCAGAGATCAGGGGGCAGGTGAGCCCTAGAGGGTCCGGCCCTGAGAACTCTTTGGGGAGGGAGCGAGCCAAGGTTCCCCCATGACCCAGGCAGAGCCCGGGGCGGAGGAGACAGGGCTAGACGAGGCCAGAACGAGGGGTGGGGGCGAAGGCCGGCGGGCGTCCAGCCACCCAAAGTCCCCCAGGAAGCTGAGCCCACGAAAGCGGGAGCTGGTTCAGCCGATCAGGAATGGGGTGTCTGAGGAATCTGGGGAGAGTCGGGGTGGGGCAGATCCGCTCTCTGGGTCTGCCTGCCCCCCTAGCCGGTAAGGAGGGGCTCCTGGTGGAAAAGGCCCAGAGAGACCCCAGTGAGCTGGTGTGGAGCTGGGTTCCTATCTCCGCAGCACCTATTTGGCCTCCTCTGGGTCTGGGAACTTAGCTGATCTGCTGATGAGTTCATGCGTCTGGTAATGCTTTTTAGAAATCTTGAATTCTAAGTGCTCAGGCAGTCCAGACCCTGCCGGACCCTCCTTTGAGTATATCCTCTCCCATCCGCCTTCCTGCCTCCAGCCTCCACCACGGGATCAGTTCCGCTGCCCCAGGGCCACTCCCAGCCCTTCCCACCTTTCAGCCCCGTGCAGTTCCCCTGGAGAAGTGCCCGTCTTTGGGGAAGGCTCCCACCTGTGCAGTCTACTAACTCTCCGGACGTGCCATCTCCCCTCTCTCTGAGCACTTACCACAGTGTGACTGATACTTTGAATTCACTCAGCCACTCCGTCTTTTAGGGAACATTTATTGAGTGCCTACTATGTGCCAAGGGGAACCAATGTCGAACATAAACACAGGGAACTTACAGACTGGTGGGAGAAGCAGAAATTCGTCAAAGAATCACATAAAGAAATAACGCATTACAGAGGTGCCTGGTGCCCTGCAGGCCTTCTGCAGGCATGGGGGGGGGGGATGCATGCAGCTGTCATTAGCGCTATGAGAGAGGTGCTTCCCAGAGGAGGGGGTGTGAAGGACAAATGGAGGCTAACAGGTGAGTGGGGGAGAAGAGCATGCCAGACGTGTGAGGTCCCTGTGGCACCAAGAAGTGTGGCCGACAGGAGGACCTAGAAGCCAGAGTTACTGAGGCAGCGTGACAGCGAACACAGTTCAGGGTGAGGCTGGAGGCACAGGAGGAGGCCAGCAGAGCCTTTGCTTAAGACAGCGGTTCTCAACCTGTGGGTCGCGGCCCCGTTGGGACCCTTTCACAGGGGTCGCCTAAGATCATCCTGCATATCAGATATTGACATGACGATTCATAACAGTAGCAACATGACAGTTACGAAGTAGCAACGAAAATAATTTTATGGTTGGGTCACAACATGAGGAACGGTATTTAAAGGGCCAGAGGGTTGAGAAACACTGGCTTAAGGCCTTTGACAGTTTTGACTCTGGCCAGGAACAACGGGGCAGCATGAAGACTCTCAGACAGCGGCCACCCAATCAGCTTGTATTTGGAGCAGTTGGCTGGAAGGGGCACTAAGTGAATGCAGGCGGCCAGTTAGGAGACTATCACTAGTTAACTGGGTTTAGGGCTGCCTCTCTGCTAAATGGTGAGAGCCATAGGATAGGGCCTATCCCTGGTAGCCCTCTGAAAACACACACACACAAACACACACACGCAGAAGCTCACATATGCACACATACCAGTACACACATACACAGAGCCCAGCCTGGGAGTGCAGAGAAAAGGTGCTCAATATACATTTTTTACATCAATATGAAATCAGAGTTATCCAGCCATGTCCAACCCACCAGTTTATGTACACAGGCCCTGGCAGCCTTGGGGGGCAGTGGTTTGGGGAAAGGGACTGCAGGCTTCCTGCCAACCAGGGTCCCAATGTGGAGGCGGGAGCCAGGCTCCCATCTCTCCATTCACTTCCTCTCTTAAACTTGTTCATAAACATGTTCATGTTCGCGGCCTGCCAGCCTTCTCCCTGCTCCTGGCAGGGTTCAGCCGGCTCTGTCCCCAGCCTTGGGCAGCAAGAACAGGTGTGCTGGCCTCTGCACACCATCTTGGCCCCTCAGGGGTCCCGGTGCTAAAGTGGGGGGGATGGGGGGTGCCGTACAGGAGGCAAGTCATAGTGTCCAGGGATGTGGCTGTTCTTGGGTGAGTCATAGTGGCCGGGGGTCGGGCCCAGAGGCTGGGGGTGCTGGGAGCCCACGGAGTCTGGGTCTGGAGACAGAGAAAGGACAGAATGAGGAGGAGGTGGCTCCTCCCCTTCTCCTCCTCTCCCCTCTCCAGACGCTTCTGCCCAAACAGAGCTAGTGCCTGGCTATAGGGCAGTTTGTGCGGCTTCCCAGCTGCCAGCCGGGGAGGCCACCTTGACCTGCCCACCTCACAGGCTAGGAAAACACTTGGACACCTGCGCATGCAGCCCCCTTGCTCACCCCCTGCCCGGGTCCCCACTTGTCTGGGGACCGACTAAACAAGCCAGGTGCTACACACCCTCCATTTCCATCCTCAGCCCTGTGAGGTGGTTCCCCCGCTCAGGCTCTCCGCGGCACCGTGATTCCCAACAGCGTGCCTGGCCTGGGCCCCAGTCAGGCCCCCACGGCCTTGCTCTTGCTGCCACAGCATGCCACCTCCACATTCCCTTCCTCTGTCCCTTTCTCCCTCCCTTGTCCCTTCTCCCTTCCACCTCCCCAGCCCCTGCCCCCGCGGAGAAGGAGGCTCACCATGGGGCAGAACACTAGGCTGCTGATAGGGACCACTGTCTCTCTGCGGCTGCGGCTGCGGCTGGGGGTATCGCGGCCTCTGGCTGGCCGGGAGCTGAGGAGGCTGCCTGTGGGGAGATCCTGAGGGGGGGCCTTTCATTTCCACATAGCTGCTCTCCCGGGGGCCTCCTAGCAGGCTGGGCAGGTCCCGGATGGTGGCGTAGGGGTTCTCACTGCTCAGGGAAGCCATACTGGCCCCCAGCCCGTCTTCAGAGATGGGTCCTGAGGATGGGGGAAAGCATTCAGGCTCAGGGGAGGCACTGGCCCCCCAGTGCAGCTCCCTCTCGCGCACCCACCCCACCCCGCCCCTGTGCTCATACCTTTGCCGTAGAATGGGCCTGGGCCATTACTGTTGCCGTAGCTACAGCTGTAGCTTCGGTCCAAGCGGCTGCTACCTGGGGAGGAGGAGGAGGAGGCCACGCGCCATAAGACTCCTGGGCTCAGCCTCCTCTAACCCTGGCGCCCAGAACCCCCTTCTGCAGACGGAGCCAGACGCCGGGCTGCACACACCCACCCGCACCGGAGGCCTGGCCTCTAGGCTCCTACCCCTGTCCAGGTGCTTCCAGTCCGCAGGCAGCGTGGTGTGGTTGTCAGGCCCATGGGCCCCACCTGGCCGCTCAGGGCCCTGGAGGCTGGCAAAGAGCTGATTGCCTGGAGCCTGATGGGGGAGGAGCGAGGATGGAGCTTTCCAGAGAAGCAGGTGTTCACCATCTCTCCCTGGCGCGCCCTCCCCAGCACTGACCTTGTTAGGGGGTGGAGGGTTAGGTGAGCACTGGGATAGGGTGTGGTAGCTGGGGTTTGAGTAGTAGTGACTGTAGCTCAGAGGGATATCTGCAAGAACAGACACAGGCGCAGGCGCCCCCCAGCCAGAGA